GATGCGAGATGAAAAAGTAGCATATGAATTAGTAATTTTTGAATAAGTAAAAGTAAAATATATTTACTTTTGATAATATTGAAAAAACAATTTTTACAATGAATGTTTGAATAAATTTTTTGTTCAAATGATATTTGTAAATTTCAAATTTCTTTAAAGTATTTAATTTAATACTTTTATCTCTTAGCCTTAACTATTACTTTGACATCAAATTTTTTGTACATGTTTTTGAATTGTATTTTTAAATGTTATAACGATATAATTTGATATAACTGATCATGTAAAAAAGTAACACTTATTTACCTGATTCACAATCCAATTATTTAATTAAATGTAATTAGTATAATGTACTTGAAATATTCTTAGACACTGTTATGGATTTTTCAGAGAATTCATCATTCGTCGTTCTATTTGTAATAATCAGTGATGACTGAAAGGATTCTTCTTCATGTGATTCAACGATGAAAAGTTTTCTGAATTTTCATGCCATGAGGCTCCACATTTGTTACTGAAATTTGTTCCACTGAAATATTAGCTTTGTTTCCTTTTAATTCTGAAGGCATTATATGTTTCGAATTAGATACCGTTTCTTTTGACACAGCTTTTTCGTCATTGAAATTGAATTCGGAGACTTGATTGAAAGTTGATAAAGCATGAGTTGATGCTATTGCATCGGTCGTTAATATAACATTATCCTTAAATCTTGATTCGGAAGTTGATTGTGATAAAAATGATTCTGCTAACTGCAAGTTGGATAGGGAACTGGCAAATAGAGTATAATTAATGTCTGATTCTGGAGTTGACGATGACAAATATGTTTCCAGAAGATTAACTTCAGATTCTTGAGTTGATGGTGATAAATACATTTTTGTTCGCTGAGTATCCAACAATGTAGAAAGAGGACTAAGAGATTGTTGTAATGGTAATGTGTCTAGCACTGTTTTTGGTAATACTTCACTGGTATTAGCATCATTTGATTTCTGGAATTCTATGTTAAAATTTTCAAGTGATGAATTCAATGCCGATGTAATTGATGATGAAATTTTCTGCCATCTTGTTGCTTCTGAAGTCAGAGTGATAGGCGATATCGATGCGTCAGTACTACTAGCTGCAGGCAAAAACGTAGATAACATTGTGGGAGCCCTTGAATTTGACGTATTTTTCACGTACGTACGT